CTAATCTTTCTATATTAATAATTTCCATTTCTAATAATTTCTAATAATCATCATTATATACAGATAAAATTGGATATGAAATTATAGATATTGATATTATATAATAATGTAAAATTTGTATTATAAAAATACAATAATTATATTATTATTATATAAAATACAACAACTATAATAATAATTTATCATTATGTAATAATTTTTAAGACATATATATATACATATATATATATATATATACACAGACATACTATTTATTTTAACTATATTAACAGGCTTAATCAATCAAGTAACACTTGTACACAATTATTAGTGTTTAAATCCCCTGTTGTAGAATGACAATACAAACTCATATTAACTGCTCATTCCCCATCCATCAGGTGGGCTTTATTGACTACATCGTGCACCCGCTATGGGAGACCTGGGCGGATCTGGTTCATCCTGATGCCCAGGAGATTCTCGACACGCTGGAGGACAACCGTGAGTGGTACCAGAGCTTGATCCCCCACAGTCCCACCTCCACCCCTAAGGACAAGGGCGGTGTGGTCGGGATGGGAGCGATAGGTGGAGGCATCACCTCAGCGGGGGAGAAATTCCAGTTTGAACTGACCTTAGAGGAGGAAGGGGAGTCTGACATCGAGAGTCCCATGGACGAAGAGTTCACTTCCACCACACAGGATTCCTCCAGGACAGATCCAGAAGGCAAACATCCGTCTTCGGCTCCCCGCTCACAGCAAGCCAACCTGACCGCTCGCTCCCCTGGCTGCAGGACAATGTCTTTTAAGATGGCCGAGCCGCCAGACAGTGAAGATGAAGATAGAGAACTTGACCAAGAAGGGAAAAGCGTGTCTTGCCTGCGTCTGGGAACATAACACTAGGGCACTTTTTCATTGCGTTCTTTTTTCTTCTTTCGTACCTCTTCCTCACCACCTCCCTATCCCTCTCCATCCCATTCTTAGCTTCCTCGGGTGGAGGCGACGCAGTGCAGGAGAGCAAAGGAGAGGTAGGAAAGCTTCCACAGGACGTTTTTATACAGTAGTCACCTTGCACTGGAGAAGGCTCCTACTCTACGGACTGTCAAAGCGCGAAGCTTTCTTAAAAAGTTCTCGGTCTCGTGACTTCGGGATGCCATTCGGCTTGAGACTGAGAGGAAACGTCCTCAAGTGTGTTCCTGTGACATCCCAGGTTTAAAGTTAATGAACAAGTGGAGCCGTCCAAACATATTGATCGATAAACAGGACACTTTTTATGTGAGACGTATGTGCACTAAAATGTTTTTAAAAAGATACACTGTTGACTTAAAGCTGGTCTAATAATAGCTGAACAGAACAACCTAACCTTAACACAACAGAACATCTCAGGATTCAAAGAAACGATTGCTTTCATGTAGCAAACAGCTTGAGGGTACCCACATAGTGACCGCCGTCTTCCTTGGATCACTATGTAAGTCGAGCCAAGATTGTGATCTTTTCTATTAGTATGTGTCGCCACCTAGTGCTTAATAGTGGAACTGGAGCCACGTTTATGGGATTTAGCACTCCAGCCGAACACGGTGGCTCTGCGTTGTTGTTCCTTTGCACAGATTATACTCATCTGACCGTTTTAACTTAAAACCCTTCTCACCTTTATTTGTAGGAATGCTGCTTTAATTTAAGGCATTCACATGGTTTACATATGCTTCTCGTTTATTTTTCTATTCTGCTTCATCCAAAGCATGAGCGCAAGCATTATTACATTGTGCGTCACGGTTTTAAAACGGCTTGCTTCTGATATTCTAGGTAGCACTTTAGAAGATATCTTTGTCATTGCCAAACGTAGCTCCATCAGTAAGGGCTGGAGTCATTCTTAACGTACAGAAGACAAGGATTCGCCGTGATCTGCAGGGTAACCAGCATGTGTATGCACCCTGTATAGTAAGTTGGTCTCTGGAAGGCTGGTCTAGCTTGGAAACCCACATTAGCTGTATAGGAAGTGATCGGTGTCCTTAAACCACATGTGTAGTTTCTCTCTCTTTCTGTGCTGGTCACACTGAAAAAAATAAGAGGTATCTTAACATCTTTGCAAATGTATGATGTCTAAACAAATGTTCTAAAATGAGAGCTGTGCGCTACAAGATAACACATTAAGCCAAAGTTCGTTTTCTGTGCCAGACCTTTTGTGTTCTTTGGTTTTTGGTGATTGATCAGTGCTCTGGGACACAGCCATTAGCCAATGACAGTACAAGTGCCAAGCAAGCATGATCCATGCTGTACTGTAATTTCCATGTTGCCACTGGCTAATTTCCATCAATGACATCTACTACTGTCAGTAACATACTGATTTAAGCATTTAGTTTTCTTTTATTTTGTTATTCAAAACTGTCGATTTGTCAAGCTGAAATGTTATTTAAGAGTATTCATGATTAATAAGTCTTTCTGACTCGGTGTGCTCATTGTAAATCAGATTATTTGTGTCCTTTTTATACCGTGGTATGCATTGTAATATTGGATACAGTGAATCTTTGTATGTAAGTGGATTACAGTACAGGGGGCTTTTAATTATTGGCTATATGTTCATCTTAATGTCAGTCTGTGCTCTTTAGCAATGTTTCATGTGGTGAAAGAAATGCTGAGTGGCCATGCAAAGTTCGACTGACTGTATCCACACGGCACACCTCTGTTTGGTCTTTTCTGTCGCAGATCTGACAATCCCAGCAGTACTGTTTACCACTACAACGCTGTTACTAATGTTGCTGTGATCGTTTTCATGTTCCCAATGCCAATAAACGAGGAAATATTAGTAAGCTGGACTCATTTGTGTTATATTGAAACCCAGTACCATAATATATAAATAATAAATGCTTTGGTAAATTATAAGATTGCAATTGGGCAAAAAGTTGAAATAATAATATAAATCATAATCATGACGTAAAGTTGAATTTATTATATGAAAAGTTAAAATAATGACAAATGATGGCAGTGGTCAAAATGATGGCATAAAAAGCCAAAATGATGACAAAAAGATTAATTATGACATTAAAAGTTCACAAAAATTACATAAGTAATAGTTAAGACAAAAGTCGAAGTTATGACATTTCTATTTGTTGTCATAATTTTGACTGTCATAATTTATTTTGATTGTCATTATTTTGAATTTGTCATAATCATAACTTAGTATGTCATTATTTTGACTTTATGTAATGTTATAATTATGACTTTTTAATAATTATGACTTATAATAGTGATTTATCTATCTTATAATTATGACTATTTCATAAAAAGACTGAGCATCATGATCTCGTTATAATTTTAGCTGCGATTTTTAATCTCATAAAGATAACTTTTCATCTTAGTATGTATGACTTAATATGTAATAGTTAAATTTAGACTTTTAGATCATAATTTCTCTTATGGCATAGTTAAGATTTTTTATCTTATAATTATGACTTTTTATCCCATAATTATGACTCTTATGATTTCATTGAAATTGTGAAATGTAAGAAATTATGACTTGAAAATACTGAAATGGGAATCCACAGTATTGATTTAAAACATCTCAACAACTAGCAAATGCTCTTGTTGCTTCATGCATCAGACCGCTAAATCGTTAACGTGACAGAGCGGACGTGTAATTGGCTCATCCACATGTCAGTCATTGTTTAGCCCCGCCCCCAGCTGGCTCCCGTCGAGTGACGAAAGCAAGAGCGCATCCAAACCGCTCCAAATAAACCTCCTGTTAAGGTAAACTGAGCTTTCTCTGGCAACATCTTGCCGCTTCACCTTGCATTTATTTCGGAATGACAAAGAAGTCGCATAGAAACATCAGGAAATCAATGGTTTAGATTTAAAAACAGCGTAACCTTCATTTGACATCGCTAACTGGGATGGATCATAAACAGCCTCTGCTGTATAATCCATCGCTGCATGCTACAAACTAACGTCAACTGGCTTTTGACACTCAGCACATTGTCGCTGGCAGTTATGATGAATACTGTCTGTTTGATCGATGGAATGTTAGTCACTCACTGACCCGAATAAAAACGGAAATCAGTCCGTGTGTGTTAAGCGGATAGATGCTAACCGGAGCTCAACTGATTTAACCACTATCAGCCATACAGCAGTCTCGCTCTCACAGGCTGCCATTTATTTTAAACGTCTCGATTGGACAATTGGCTCGTAAACGTAGCTGCACTTTTCATACACAAAGGTTTCTTGCTCTAATCTTGTACGCCAAGCCTGAGCCATATGTTTGAATTAAGCCTCGATGTGTGCCTGGCTGATCAGGTGGCCTGACAAATAACAGACTAAACAGAGCAGGAATAAACATTCAGGGATTGGTTTGTCTCTATATGGGAAAGAAAGAACCCCCTTGGTCTTCCATGATAAAATGGGAATATTAGAATAATCTTCCCCTGATATTGTTGGTGTGCTAAGGTCCTGAGCTAAGCACAGGGTTTAGCCGGCACAAAACCTTTGAAATCCTTGGCTACACGGACTGCCTAGCTCAATCCATAAGGATACAGGCACAGTGCAGGTTACACCCTCTATTCACTTTGAATTTGTGTTGTAATTCAGCAAACAGGCTGTGAATAAGAAAACATATTTGATTCAACACATTGCCAGGAACCGTTTCTGACACAATGAACAGTTGAACATTGTGCTGCTGTATAAGAATAATCAGCCTTGTACTGTAGTTATGTCAGTTTTCTTATCTGATTGCTTCTACAGTGAATGTCTAGAGAATACATAACGTACTATAGTCACTCATGACATGATTCAGTTCATTGGAAAAGACTCATTATACTAGTTATTTGTTACAAAAAGTTCCAGTTAATGTGCAGTATGCAGATAAATTTGGCTGTTATTGTTCACTAAAATAACTTGTTTTCATAAATTGTCTGACATTGCAAAACCACCAGTTTTTTTATTTTTATTTTACGTGGTTTATACATAGCAGCTGTCTAAAATCTTTTCTTTTTTATTAAGTATGTTTGTTAGCCTACATCTGTTCATTTCATTATCCACATGAATAAAAAAGGCTTTTTCCCAAATCTCTACTAGTCCTAGCTGAGATACCAGAGATAACCATCCCAAAAGTTAGAGATATTTTAACTTGTGCATTTATAAGAAGAAAAAACTGCACAAATGAGAGAAATCTCAAACCTGATTTTTTTGTACTTTGCTGGGTACCCTCTAAAAAGATTTAGGACTGAGACTTGAACCCTTCCCATTATTAATTGACTGTCAAAATGGAAAATTTAGCCATCTTCATAATTACTTTTTTAAAATTTATTTCTAAGTCCAAGGAACAAGAATGTGCAAAACAGCATATATACAGTACGTGTAACCTGAAATATACACTAAAGGTCAGTTTTTGCTCCAAAGAGCTAGAACCTAAACCAAGATATTGAGGTTTCCATAAATGTATAACTGAAAATTTGTTCCAAGTCAAGACCCAAACGTAAGCCACTGTAATTAAACCAAAGCTGTGTCCAAAATCACATACTGTCTAGAAAGTATTTGGTTTGAAACTTGCTTCACCACTGTTAAAAAAGTATGTTCTACTGTAGAACTGTATGAATATGAGTATGAATAAAATGTAGTACATCTGCCACGTTGTTATCCATCCATTACGCTTGAATGTACTGTACGTCACAATATGGAAGAAGAGATTTATCGCAATTCTATAAATCACCTTCTTTGTTTTATTGTTACAGATGGCCTCAGCAAATGATGCTCGATATGGACAAAAAGAGTCTGCGGATCAGAACTTTGACTTCATGTTTAAGATCCTGATCATTGGTAACAGCAGTGTCGGCAAAACCAGTTTCCTGTTCCGCTATGCTGATGACTCCTTCACACCTGCTTTCGTCAGCACTGTCGGCATAGACTTCAAAGTGAAGACCATCTACTGGAACGACAAGAGGATAAAGCTCCAAATATGGGTGAGGAGTTCCTTATCGTTTTCATTTTTTCTTTCCGCTAGAGTCTTGAGTTTTGTGTTAGAGTAAGGAGTAAGTTTTATTCACTCCAACTTCTGTATATTTCAGGACACTGCTGGGCAGGAGAGGTACAGGACCATCACCACAGCATACTATCGTGGAGCAATGGGCTTCATTCTGATGTATGACATCACCAGCGAGGATTCCTTTAATGCCGTTCAGGACTGGTACGATAGTGCTTGTTTTTGTCCGTGGCTCATAAAATTGACACATTTGCAAAGATGCGACCTAGTTTCTGTCTAAACACGGACTGTCCTGAGAGCATGCGCTATATTTTTCAGCAACCAGGTGCGATGTGATATGATTCCAGCAACAAGTAATTAATCCACTTTAAACATGAAATTGCTACACAACATGACACAATCACATCGGTCAAAAGTCGGCACTAAATGAAACTTAACAGCAGCACCATTTTAAGTGAGCAGGGCGTCAAAACAGCGGAGCGGATCACATAACAAGCGCTCATGGTTGTTTATTGTAAATATCTTTCAGCGCTATATCCTCTAGTATTTTTATCTAAAGCCAAACGAGCTTTATTCAAGCCCTTTCAGCTCCGTGCGTTTTCTCTCTCTCCGGACGCTCGCCGGCGCCAAGTTTAAGAGCTGCGGATGACACGGTTATTTTAACAACAACAGAAACACCATGAGCAGCAAAATTATAGATTACTTTCACTAAAACAGCAGAAAAAAAACAATGCTGCAAATATAGTTATTTTTCTTACTATCTATTTATCTATCTATAACCTATGACTGTTCAAACCAGATGTGACAAGACGTTTCTGATCTACATTTAGCATTATTAATCTGTAGGCTAAGAACATTTAAAAAAATACGTAATTATATTTGGGAAAATTGTTGTTAGATGACTAGGATGGAACTTCAAAACTTTGAAACTGTTAGTTAACTTTCTTTTCTGCTAAAGATGAGAACGCTTTGATTGTTGTAGCTACATTGTTTTTAGTAGATGCTGCTTTTAAGTAAAATATTAAAATAGTATAGATTTCAGGAGGAAAACCCTGAACAGAAGTATTTTTTCTGTCACATGGCCTCGCATGTATCTAAATGTGAAAATACAATACATGTAAAAATGTTTTGGTTTTTTTTGTCCGGATCTTTGCTTGGAAGAAAATATAGAGGCTGTGCCTCTTGGAGCTTTAATTGATTACCCCTGACTTATATCATAAAGAAATACTTTATTTGTATGGTTTTGTAATATCTGTGTCACATATTTCCTTATGTGTCATGGTAGATCGGACTCTTATTATAGAATTTGATTACATTTGATTTTGAACATGGTAATGAATTAAAATATATAACAGGCTGGATGTACAATAACCTTACATCTTAACACACTTTTTTTTTTTTTACAAAGCAGATCATAGATCTTATATTTTGTCTATAGTTTATAAAACAGCTTCGTAAATAGAAAGACTTTAATACATGAATTCTGAATGGAATTTTTTTAGCAAGCCATTAAATGACTTGAGACTCGACTCAGACTTGTGACCAAAGACTCCAGACTTGACTCAGACTCCAGCGAAAAAGATTTCAGACTTGACTTGGACTCCAAGTTAAAGAATTGTGAACATCTCTGGTATATATATATATATATATATATGAGTCATATGAGTCATAATAAATATATGGCAAAAGTCATCACAACCTGCTATTCTTAACATCCATAAAGTTAAATGAATTAAATGAATAAAACCATACATGGAAGTAAATCTTTACCACCTGATACACAAGGAAACAGTGTCAAAGGCATTTAGCCTATTAAAAAGAACTTCTCATTATCTTGTATTTTATTATTATTATTATTATTATTATTGATATTTAATTACAAATATTTAATTTATTTTAATGATTAAATGTCTTTTTAACATGTTTATATATAAATGTTAATTACAGTAGCATTTAGGCAGTTCAGATGCTTTTTCTTAATGACTCGTTTACTGCTCTTAGGTCCACACAGATTAAGACATATTCATGGGACAATGCTCAAGTGCTGCTGGTGGGAAATAAGTGTGACATGGAAGACGAGAGAGTGGTTGCTTCAGAGAGAGGAAGACAGCTGTCTGAACAGCTAGGTGCGTTTTCCTGAACAGAAGGTTTTCCACTTGAATTTCCTTCTTGTTTTCTCGTAGCTCTTAGTTTAGTTTGAATATAATAGTGCCTTTTACTTCTTTTGACTGTCACAGGCTTTGAGTTCTTTGAGGCCAGTGCCAAGGACAACATTAACGTGAAGCAGGCATTTGAGCAGCTGGTGGACATAATCTGTGAGAGGATGGCAGAGAATCCGGAGTCGGCGGACCCGTCCACCACGGGGAACAGGCAGGGCCCTCAGCTCAGTGAGCAGCCACAGCGCTCCCACAAAGACTGTGCTTGCTAAGGGTCACTCACAACCTCTCCACCATTCCCAGCAGATTGAACAATGGACACTCTAGGAAAGAAGGCTTTGGTAAGAGAAGAGCTGATGGGATGCAGCTGAGAACCTGTCCTCTCTCTGTCCCTCTTGTGAGATTGACATCAGTGCATTTTTATTTCTCTTATATTGATATAGGTAACCAATGCTCCTCTCATCTCTTAAGAATTGGAATAATTTAATATCTTTTTGACTTTGGGGTCAAATTAATTCCAATGTGAAATTGGGTGAATCACATTTGGTTTTGGTACACTGTCTGCTAAAACGTACTTCTAAATGTTGCTAAATGTTCATGAGCACTTCTTAGGTATGTTTTTGGATTCATCAAGTTCAAATTCACACAAATATCCTTAATACATTGCCAGGAGATATTATCCTTAACAGAAAAATATACATTTAGGACCAGGTTGTTGTGTGGAAACCATCAGCATAAAGGCTCATCCCAAGATGGAACATTTGAATGAATCCTAAGCTTGAATTGTTCATAAGTACTGTTTCACTCTTAATTTTTAAATTAAAGAGTGAAAACGAAATGCACACTAATTAATTTGCTCCCTATTCTTTTTTAAATAACAGCAGGTGTATTTTGTAAAACATATATTATATAAGCAAAAACGGTATATGTGAGATAATAGATGTAATTAGGAAAAAATCATTATGATGTGCTTAATTGCTTCTTGTTTTATAATATGAAGGAATTAATGAAGTTAAGTGTATTATCAGTTACATGTTCTGCTTTTACTCCGGTTCCTACATACAGGTGGTCTCAAACTCCTCATTGTACCATAACGGAAGTGTGTGAGTGTGTGTGCATGTTAGTATGTCATCCTAGTATTTTGTCGATGTTTCGTTTTTACAAGCATAGATGAGGATTACTGCTGTTCTACGGCTGAAAACACAATAAAAGCTTTAATGAAAAGAGAACCTAAATCAAAGAATAGCAGCTAATGAGTTTGTGGACGAGACTGTATTTTGAAAAACTGTAATATTAAAACAAAAAGCATTGTAATTCTCATTTAGGCATTAGAAAACAGATACTATATGCACCACTGATTGATCACTAGAGTATTAACATATGTTAATGCCCACAATAATGTTATTTTTGTAATTAGGTATGTTAATTTACTGCATTATTTATTGCTTATTTATTAACATGCGTTTTTGTTGGTGTATGTGTTCTGCGTTCGATTAAGAGGGCTACTGCTATACTTACAGAATAGGCTTGGACATCTGAAATGTCTCGCTTTTATAAATCACAGAGTTTTAAACACAAAAGGCAATGTATGTTTGAAAACATCATGTTTGTAGAAGTATGTGTTGGTTTCCCCCTATGCAATTCAGAAGCTTTGTTATACCAAAATAGTCACTGGATATGCAGGGATATTGTTTTAAGGTAATTGATGATTTATACCCTTCATTTAAAACCTTTTTTACAGTCCAACAAATGGCAAACCACTGGGATTTCCTTTTTTATACAGAGAAATTTGACACATTAGTTTGCTTTATATGCAGAGTAATCACTGTTAAAGTAGAAGCCATAAAACTGAGTTTTGGATTTGATACACTTTTGTAGTTTTTTTTTATTTAATTACATTTTTTGTAGTTGGCAGTTTGAGTATTGTTTGTGTTGTAATTGTACAATAGTCCTTCAGTTCCAGCACTATGACATATGTCATTTTAAAAATTACAAATCGGTTTTTAATTGATATACATTATGCTGTGTTTCACCCTGGGAGATAATGGTAATAAACCACTGTATTAGCAACTGATATAAGCAGGACACTCACTCTCATGAGTTTTGAGAATCAAGTGACCACTTGCATCTGTTTATTGAGTTCAATAAAAAGCTATGTTTGAAACCTTTAGTGACTTATTGCTGTCATTGTTGACCTTTTATATTGTCTTGACAAAGAGGGGCCTCAAAAAGTTGAGCTCCACTGGCCTATATGGGAGCTGCAAGAACTCGGATGTAATGCTTGGTTTGCTAGTTTATATTGAAGGTTTATGATGTCGTAAGAAACAATGAAGAGTTTGATGCATACTCTGCGTCTTCAGATTATTTATTTATTATCTGATGGCGGCTGAATGACAAGTACAGATGCTAAATAAAGAGAGTCTGGGGAATTGAAATCATCCACATGTTAAACGTACTGTATAAATTACCTTCTTTCACATCCTCATCGCATAATCTAAACATTTTCTCAAGGAAATCAAGATCCGCACAGATTTATAAAGACCTACAGAAACCTGTTACGAATGCTCTGTATTGCATTACAACAGTAATTTGTAAAATATGTCTGCGTTTGGTTCTTGCTTTCAGATGTTTCCCAAAAGTTAGAGATATTTTAACTTGTGCATTTATAAGAAGAAAAAACTGCACAAATGAGAGAAATCTCAAACCTGATTTTTTTGTACTTTGCTGGGTACCCTCTAAAAAGATTTAGGACTGAGACTTGAACCCTTCCCATTATTAATTGACTGTCAAAATGGAAAATTTAGCCATCTTCATAATTACTTTTTTAAAATTTATTTCTAAGTCCAAGGAACAAGAATGTGCAAAACAGCATATATACAGTACGTGTAACCTGAAATATACACTAAAGGTCAGTTTTTGCTCCAAAGAGCTAGAACCTAAACCAAGATATTGAGGTTTCCATAAATGTATAACTGAAAATTTGTTCCAAGTCAAGACCCAAACGTAAGCCACTGTAATTAAACCAAAGCTGTGTCCAAAATCACATACTGTCTAGAAAGTATTTGGTTTGAAACTTGCTTCACCACTGTTAAAAAAGTATGTTCTACTGTAGAACTGTATGAATATGAGTATGAATAAAATGTAGTACATCTGCCACGTTGTTATCCATCCATTACGCTTGAATGTACTGTACGTCACAATATGGAAGAAGAGATTTATCGCAATTCTATAAATCACCTTCTTTGTTTTATTGTTACAGATGGCCTCAGCAAATGATGCTCGATATGGACAAAAAGAGTCTGCGGATCAGAACTTTGACTTCATGTTTAAGATCCTGATCATTGGTAACAGCAGTGTCGGCAAAACCAGTTTCCTGTTCCGCTATGCTGATGACTCCTTCACACCTGCTTTCGTCAGCACTGTCGGCATAGACTTCAAAGTGAAGACCATCTACTGGAACGACAAGAGGATAAAGCTCCAAATATGGGTGAGGAGTTCCTTATCGTTTTCATTTTTTCTTTCCGCTAGAGTCTTGAGTTTTGTGTTAGAGTAAGGAGTAAGTTTTATTCACTCCAACTTCTGTATATTTCAGGACACTGCTGGGCAGGAGAGGTACAGGACCATCACCACAGCATACTATCGTGGAGCAATGGGCTTCATTCTGATGTATGACATCACCAGCGAGGATTCCTTTAATGCCGTTCAGGACTGGTACGATAGTGCTTGTTTTTGTCCGTGGCTCATAAAATTGACACATTTGCAAAGATGCGACCTAGTTTCTGTCTAAACACGGACTGTCCTGAGAGCATGCGCTATATTTTTCAGCAACCAGGTGCGATGTGATATGATTCCAGCAACAAGTAATTAATCCACTTTAAACATGAAATTGCTACACAACATGACACAATCACATCGGTCAAAAGTCGGCACTAAATGAAACTTAACAGCAGCACCATTTTAAGTGAGCAGGGCGTCAAAACAGCGGAGCGGATCACATAACAAGCGCTCATGGTTGTTTATTGTAAATATCTTTCAGCGCTATATCCTCTAGTATTTTTATCTAAAGCCAAACGAGCTTTATTCAAGCCCTTTCAGCTCCGTGCGTTTTCTCTCTCTCCGGACGCTCGCCGGCGCCAAGTTTAAGAGCTGCGGATGACACGGTTATTTTAACAACAACAGAAACACCATGAGCAGCAAAATTATAGATTACTTTCACTAAAACAGCAGAAAAAAAACAATGCTGCAAATATAGTTATTTTTCTTACTATCTATTTATCTATCTATAACCTATGACTGTTCAAACCAGATGTGACAAGACGTTTCTGATCTACATTTAGCATTATTAATCTGTAGGCTAAGAACATTTAAAAAAATACGTAATTATATTTGGGAAAATTGTTGTTAGATGACTAGGATGGAACTTCAAAACTTTGAAACTGTTAGTTAACTTTCTTTTCTGCTAAAGATGAGAACGCTTTGATTGTTGTAGCTACATTGTTTTTAGTAGATGCTGCTTTTAAGTAAAATATAAAAATAGTATAGATTTCAGGAGGAAAACCCTGAACAGAAGTATTTTTTCTGTCACATGGCCTCGCATGTATCTAAATGTGAAAATACAATACATGTAAAAATGTTTTGGTTTTTTTTGTCCGGATCTTTGCTTGGAAGAAAATATAGAGGCTGTGCCTCTTGGAGCTTTAATTGATTACCCCTGACTTATATCATAAAGAAATACTTTATTTGTATGGTTTTGTAATATCTGTGTCACATATTTCCTTATGTGTCATGGTAGATCGGACTCTTATTATAGAATTTGATTACATTTGATTTTGAACATGGTAATGAATTAAAATATATAACAGGCTGGATGTACAATAACCTTACATCTTAACACACTTTTTTTTTTTTTACAAAGCAGATCATAGATCTTATATTTTGTCTATAGTTTATAAAACAGCTTCGTAAATAGAAAGACTTTAATACATGAATTCTGAATGGAATTTTTTTAGCAAGCCATTAAATGACTTGAGACTCGACTCAGACTTGTGACCAAAGACTCCAGACTTGACTCAGACTCCAGCGAAAAAGATTTCAGACTTGACTTGGACTCCAAGTTAAAGAATTGTGAACATCTCTGGTATATATATATATATATATATATGAGTCATAAAATATGCATTAAATATATGGCAAAAGTCATCACAACCTGCTATTCTTAACATCCATAAAGTTAAATGAATAAAAATATGTAAACCATACATGGAAGTAAATCTTTACCACCTGATACACAAGGAAACAGTGTCAAAGGCATTTAGCCTATTAAAAAGAACTTCTCATTATCTTGTATTTTATTATTATTATTATTATTATTATTGATATTTAATTACAAATATTTAATTTATTTTAATGATTAAATGTCTTTTTAACATGTTTATATATAAATGTTAATTACAGTAGCATTTAGGCAGTTCAGATGCTTTTTCTTAATGACTCGTTTACTGCTCTTAGGTCCACACAGATTAAGACATATTCATGGGACAATGCTCAAGTGCTGCTGGTGGGAAATAAGTGTGACATGGAAGACGAGAGAGTGGTTGCTTCAGAGAGAGGAAGACAGCTGTCTGAACAGCTAGGTGCGTTTTCCTGAACAGAAGGTTTTCCACTTGAATTTCCTTCTTGTTTTCTCGTAGCTCTTAGTTTAGTTTGAATATAATAGTGCCTTTTACTTCTTTTGACTGTCACAGGCTTTGAGTTCTTTGAGGCCAGTGCCAAGGACAACATTAACGTGAAGCAGGCATTTGAGCAGCTGGTGGACATAATCTGTGAGAGGATGGCAGAGAATCCGGAGTCGGCGGACCCGTCCACCACGGGGAACAGGCAGGGCCCTCAGCTCAGTGAGCAGCCACAGCGCTCCCACAAAGACTGTGCTTGCTAAGGGTCACTCACAACCTCTCCACCATTCCCAGCAGATTGAACAATGGACACTCTAGGAAAGAAGGCTTTGGTAAGAGAAGAGCTGATGGGATGCAGCTGAGAACCTGTCCTCTCTCTGTCCCTCTTGTGAGATTGACATCAGTGCATTTTTATTTCTCTTATATTGATATAGGTAACCAATGCTCCTCTCATCTCTTAAGAATTGGAATAATTTAATATCTTTTTGACTTTGGGGTCAAATTAATTCCAATGTGAAATTGGGTGAATCACATTTGGTTTTGGTACACTGTCTGCTAAAACGTACTTCTAAATGTTGCTAAATGTTCATGAGCACTTCTTAGGTATGTTTTTGGATTCATCAAGTTCAAATTCACACAAATATCCTTAATACATTGCCAGGAGATATTATCCTTAACAGAAAAATATACATTTAGGACCAGGTTGTTGTGTGGAAACCATCAGCATAAAGGCTCATCCCAAGATGGAACATTTGAATGAATCCTAAGCTTGAATTGTTCATAAGTACTGTTTCACTCTTAATTTTTAAATTAAAGAGTGAAAACGAAATGCACACTAATTAATTTGCTCCCTATTCTTTTTTAAATAACAGCAGGTGTATTTTGTAAAACATATATTATATAAGCAAAAACGGTATATGTGAGATAATAGATGTAATTAGGAAAAAATCATTATGATGTGCTTAATTGCTTCTTGTTTTATAATATGAAGGAATTAATGAAGTTAAGTGTATTATCAGTTACATGTTCTGCTTTTACTCCGGTTCCTACATACAGGTGGTCTCAAACTCCTCATTGTACCATAACGGAAGTGTGTGAGTGTGTGTGCATGTTAGTATGTCATCCTAGTATTTTGTCGATGTTTCGTTTTTACAAGCATAGATGAGGATTACTGCTGTTCTACGGCTGAAAACACAATAAAAGCTTTAATGAAAAGAGAACCTAAATCAAAGAATAGCAGCTAATGAGTTTGTGGACGAGACTGTATTTTGAAAAACTGTAATATTAAAACAAAAAGCATTGTAATTCTCATTTAGGCATTAGAAAACAGATACTATATGCACCACTGATTGATCACTAGAGTATTAACATATGTTAATGCCCACAATAATGTTATTTTTGTAATTAGGTATGTTAATTTACTGCATTATTTATTGCTTATTTATTAACATGCGTTTTTGTTGGTGTATGTGTTCTGCGTTCGATTAAGAGGGCTACTGCTATACTTACAGAATAGGCTTGGACATCTGAAATGTCTCGCTTTTATAAATCACAGAGTTTTAAACACAAAAGGCAATGTATGTTTGAAAACATCATGTTTGTAGAAGTATGTGTTGGTTTCCCCCTATGCAATTCAGAAGCTTTGTTATACCAAAATAGTCACTGGATATGCAGGGATATTGTTTTAAGGTAATTGATGATTTATACCCTTCATTTAAAACCTTTTTTACAGTCCAACAAATGGCAAACCACTGGGATTTCCTTTTTTATACAGAGAAATTTGACACATTAGTTTGCTTTATATGCAGAGTAATCACTGTTAAAGTAGAAGCCATAAAACTGAGTTTTGGATTTGATACACTTTTGTAGTTTTTTTTTATTTAATTACATTTTTTGTAGTTGGCAGTTTGAGTATTGTTTGTGTTGTAATTGTACAATAGTCCTTCAGTTCCAGCACTATGACATATGTCATTTTAAAAATTACAAATCGGTTTTTAATTGATATACATTATGCTGTGTTTCACCCTGGGAGATAATGGTAATAAACCACTGTATTAGCAACTGATATAAGCAGGACACTCACTCTCATGAGTTTTGAGAATCAAGTGACCACTTGCATCTGTTTATTGAGTTCAATAAAAAGCTATGTTTGAAACCTTTAGTGACTTATTGCTGTCATTGTTGACCTTTTATATTGTCTTGACAAAGAGGGGCCTCAAAAAGTTGAGCTCCACTGGCCTATATGGGAGCTGCAAGAACTCGGATGTAATGCTTGGTTTGCTAGTTTATATTGAAGGTTTATGATGTCGTAAGAAACAATGAAGAGTTTGATGCATACTCTGCGTCTTCAGATTATTTATTTATTATCTGATGGCGGCTGAATGACAAGTACAGATGCTAAATAAAGAGAGTCTGGGGAATTGAAATCATCCACATGTTAAACGTACTGTATAAATTACCTTCTTTCACATCCTCATCGCATAATCTAAACATTTTCTCAAGGAAATCAAGATCCGCACAGATTTATAAAGACCTACAGAAACCTGTTACGAATGCTCTGTATTGCATTACAACAGTAATTTGTAAAATATGTCTGCGTTTGGTTCTTGCTTTCAGATGTTTATGGATAATCCTGCTGATGTCTATGGCATTTGTGATGGAGGGATGATGGTGTCCTCGACCATGGATTTTTTGCAATTTAACAGGAGTTTGGTTGAAGTTTCTTGTGGACCAAATGACTCTTCAATCTGTACAGAGGGGTATTCTTCTGTCGTAGATCATGTATTTTATCAGGAACAACAGGAAGTTTGGAATGTGAATGGTTATACACACTTGTGTCCAACAGAAGAGTTTCACTCCACACAGCAAAATGGACAAACACAAGGAGAAAGGTTTATGTTCAACAGTTCAGACATGGATAGATCCAGTCTGAACACAAACCGGTCACGGTTTACCTGCCAGTGGCTGGAGCGATCTGCAGGTGCTCCACAGTGCTGTAAGAAAACCTACTGCACAATGAAGGAGCTCATCTCTCATCTGACAGCGGAGCATGTTAATCTGTCAGGACAATCCAGTTACGTTTGTTTGTGGGAAGACTGTTCTCGTCAAAGGAATCCATTCAAGGCCAAATACAAACTGATCAATCACCTAAGAGTGCACACGGGAGAAAAGCCCTTTCAGTGCTCGTTCGGATGTGGAAGAGCATTTGCACGGGCGGAAAACCTGAAAATTCATGAAAGGACTCATACAGGTAACACTTCAATTGTTGTTGTTGTTTTTTTCTTTTCGTTAATGTTGCATGAGGTGATTGGGTTTCATTTTCTTTTTTTGTTACAGGTGAAAAACCTTTCAGATGCCCTTTTGAGGCCTGTGAAAGGCGTTTTGCAAACAGCAGTGATAAACAAAAGCACATACGGGTCCACGCACCGGAGAAGCAATATATTTGCATGTACTGCACTAAATCATATTCTCATGCGAGCTCCCTCAGAAAACATGCAAAGGTAAATTAGAAATTAAATATGCAGCTCAAATAGTAATATAGACCTGCATTCTACGCTTTACAGATTTTTAAGTGCTTTTACATATCCTATTTTTTACTAAATGTACTTTTTTTGAATGCACTTTTTAAATGTACTTTGTGATTTAATAAGTGAATGATATACGTCATGTAAATTAAGTTCTATTCTATCTCTCTTCTTCATCAATGCAGGTCCACCTGCCAGTCATGGAACCTACTCAGAACTACAATTATGACAGCAGTTATAAAGATCCAAGCCTTTTTCAAATAATATTTTAAGGTGTGCCCTAGTGTAAAATGTAGCAGTTAGCCTATTTTTCATGACCATTCTGGTTAGAAATAAAATCAGAAGTATCAACATGTGAGAAAGGAGCTCCACAACTCTGATACATAATTATAAAAGTTATTGCTGAACAAGAAAAACTATCGCTGAGTCATTTATTACACAGCAATTAATTTTATTTACAATACATCTAAGTAAACAGTCTTTGAAAAGTTTCCCATTTCTGGTCTGTGGAGGATAAATATTAATACATATCATTTGTATTTGTATGTTAGTAGATTGTAGATTGTAAATTGCATGTCAAACAGTTACAGCATGATGTAATATACAGACATATAGTCATTAAGTATATAAATGTGAAACTATTTAGTTATAACTGTCTAAACACAAGTGTTAAGAATGTTTTAATACAAAATCATCTCAGTTTTGTTGTCTTGTAAAGTGATCGTGTTCGATTGAAGTGTAATAAAACATTAAACACTGCACATTTCAGTTTCATTCAGAACAATTTTTTTTTTAATCGGCAACAAACTTAAGAGCATTGTTAATGACACAGCAAAGGGGAAATTGTACATTTGTAAATGTTAATGTGCCCACTTCAGCAGAGGATGATTCTGGAAAAAACCGTGTTCTCTCTCCCTATAGACAGAATAAATCCTCCACACACTGATCTGATATCTCTGAACAGTAATTGCATTCATTAGAACAGGCTGACCGGCGCTAATCACAGCTAATCCATCTGTGGGTTAAAGTTTGGCCTCTAATAAATAATTAGTATAGATTTTACATTTAACTGAAACTGAATTGAAATGGATAGTTCACCCAAAAATGAAAATTACATAATCATTACCCTCAAATTGTTCTAAACCTCTATAACTTTCTTTTTTTCTGTTCAACACATTTGATGAATGTGGGTAACCAAACATTTTCTAGTCCCCACTGACTTCCATAGTATAGAAAAAAACAAAAAATACTATGAGCATTAATGGCTACCAGCAACTGTATGAACTGTGTGTTAAGCATGGATTTTGAACATCTTGAGGGTAAGTGAATGATGTATGTATCCCTTTAAATTTCAATTAATTTCCCAAGTCAAGTCACCTTTATTTATTTATATGTTTAAAATCTATTTTGTGAAGTTTTCTAGTAAGTATCAGGGTTCAATAATATCACATTTTAAATTAAATATGTATTTAATGTTTATTCAGTGTGATTTCACACGTTTAGTTTTAGCAGGCTGTAGTATAGCTGTTTCTAACAATTTATTTTCTGTCAGTTCAAAAAGGGCACATTAAGTGCAGTTGCTATGTAAAGGAGTATATCAACATAATAAAGATTATTTTTCAGAGTGATCCCCAGTGATTCTCATCTGAAGGGTTCTCCCTCTGGACCGAACTATCAGAGTTACCTGTCATCTTAATGTGCAGCTGTCAGCAATTTCCAGCAGTATGACGGGCCTTCAGATGCTCTAATAATGTTCATATGTCCTTCTCATACTTCATTGATTGGTGTTTTCCCTTGAGTGTTTCTTGATTAATATAGCCCCTAAAATCACACTCTACTGTACACTACATCATCAGTGCAGAGTGCGTCACTATATTAGGCTATTGTTAAAAAGTTTGGGTAAAGTTTGTTAGAAACTTGAGATGTAAACATGTGGCCACATGGAGGCAGAGGTGAGACGCACTTCTTTCTATGAAAGGAAGGATTCATTCAATCCTGGCTGGAATAGAGATGATCTCAGGTAGTGAATATGTTACTAGCATTTTGCCCTTTTTTAATATCATCAACAGTGTTGGGGGTAACGCATTACAAGTAACGCGAGTTACGTAATCAGATTACTTTTTTTCAAGTAACTAGTAAAGTAACGCATTACTTTTTTAATTTACAAGAAAATATCTGAGTTACTTTTTCAAAAAAGTAATGCCAGTTACTTTGTTTTCCCATTTATTAACTGACAAGTCTCCTGTCCCCATATTGGGAGAAATCGGAAGTGCAGAGGAGTTGTGTGCGCTGTGTGAACATGATGTTACTGTAGTTCTAGACTAAATGTGAATGTGCATTCATCCCACTCACAAAAAAATGATTTAGTATTCATTAAAATGAATTAAAACAGTAGAATGCAAACTCAGAATATGACGCAAACCTGCAATAATTAAATATGTTAAATACCACAAATGTATCTAATCCCATTTTATTAGTTTTTTTATTGCTGAAGAGTGTTTCATCTCCTGCATTCTACTGTACAGACGTGAATTTACTTTTGCTTCAGCCTGAGGTTTATTCATTACACTTTTTGGTGTGAAAGGGCTTTTATATTTGCTATAAATAGAACTTCTTATATTAAAAACAATCAAGCCCTGCTCATATTTAAAAAGTAACGCGAAAGTAATGCAAAATTAATGTAACGCATTACTTTCCATAAAAAGTAACTAAGTAACGTAATTAGTTACTTTCTTAGGGAGTAACGCAATATTGTAATGCATTACTTTTAAAAGTAACTTTCCCCAACACTGATCGTGACAGCCCTAACATGAAGTAACACGGATGAGACAGGACAAGCAACTGAACAAAACAGGGAGTACCTATACTAGAATTGAACAAGGGAACTAAAGAGTTAATTAACAAACAACAGTTGAACTGAATGAAACTAACTAGAAACTAGGTCAAGACAGGAACAAACAAAGCATACTCCTGACACATGCTTTGTGACATTAACCCACCAACAGCGAAGGGTTAAATCATCATACACCATCACCGAATGGGACAAACAATTCACCAACATAATTGTTGTGTCAAGATTGCCATGTACATCAGGATGTACATCCTCTCTTTTCAAGATGGCGCCGCTGAGTTCGGATGCCGTCCATAATAATTATCTAATTTTGAAATAAAAGTAGTTTTTATGGTGCTTAAAGAAAAAAACTTTCTTTGAAAAGCAGCCCACATATCATTATGTACATTATAACATCGTAACGATGTAAATTATAACACTGACGTAGTCTGCAGTCAAAAGTGCTTCTGTGTGGTGACAAACCTGACAGCCGTGATAATGATCAAAAGACGTAAGTAACCTGTTCAGAAGTAATTGAAGTACTGTTTGAAGCCTCAGGCCCTCTTCCCCACATGGTTTAGACATCCATTAGTGAGCTTGATTTGGTTACAGTAACAGTATCATGAAGGGCTGCTGCACTTTCCCCATGATGACTGATGAGTCTACGTGATCAAGAGGACAGGCAGGTCTGGCAGGAGTGTAAATCATAACATCAGATGAACATCATATTGGTTGTAGTACAGAACATCTGGACTTGCCTGAAGTGATAACCAGCTGCTCAGTGTTAGATATTATAAACCTGACTTAAAATAACTAAATAAATAAACAACTCTTCCGTCTAGTAAATTATGACTTCAAGTGGTTCTGTTCAGCAGAACCGGTCTTGGGCAACAATAAATAAATAAAACAACAAAAATTCTGCATGTCTTATCGAGTTCAACACTGGTCAGCTCATTGTGCTCTCACACCCAAAAAACAATTCTGCATGACCGACTCCTGGGCTTTGGGGTTTTTCTTATTTTCTCAGAATTAACTCACAATCATTGGGCCTCATGAGACTTAGAATATAAAAATGTGTGCTTGTTCTAAAATAGACTTTCCTGGTGATTCCCTTCTTTGAGTTTTCACAGATGTTGTTTGAACAACAAAGTAGTGACTGGAAAATAGCAAAATATAAACATCAAAGGATAACGTTACAAAGAATATATGAAAAAAAAACTATCTGAGGCAAATCCTGTTACCTCAGTCCTTCTCATCTGCTTTTCAGTGTTCTGTACAATTATTTATTTATTAAGCTGATTTTAATTGAAACATAATTATACAACTGACCTTCATTCACAAACTATAAAAGAGCAACATTTCAGTAATACATTTTGTTAAGGCACCTAAAACCATTAGTGGTGGATATTTATGTGTTTGCAAGTATCATCATGCCTATATGATGTATTTAGTATTTTATGTGTGTGTGATATTCTCTCTTGCTCTCAGTGAGTGATTGTAGGAGATATTCTGGGCGGTGAGGCTCTGCTCTTCATCAGAATCCCTCAGTAGGTGTCGAGTGAAGAGCACCCGGCCATATCAAACTCATGTACTTATTAATACAGAGGCTGCAGACTGCATGATGGTAATACATGTGAGTAGTAGCCAAAACAATGCGCAGGCCTAGATAATACAGTGTAGGCTAGTCATGTATTAGACTTTATATTGTGTACCCTTGATAACCTCTATGTCCCTGTTCCACAGTGACAGTCCTAAAATGAGGGGCTACTGCTAAAATGAGGTGAATGCTACACTGTGGTCATAGGCATAGCTTGACGTTTGAGTTTGGGGGGCCAAACCGAACCGGTGGATTTGGTCAGACGTACTTTTAAACACGTTTTAAGTTTTGCTATAGTAAATCTACATATTCACATTCACATAGAGCAGTGGCAAGTGCGTGAGGTTGTCATGGTAACCACATACATTGCCCACGAATTACAGCTGCGCTTCTATTTTGACACACTAAACTTAGCAATAAACACGTTTAAAATGCACAATAAACATGTCTGTCAAAACGATCTCAAAGGAGGCTTTTATTAAGCAAATCAAGGAGTGAATTACTCATCCACTGTTTTTAAAACAGACATTTGTTGGGCTTGATTCAAGTTAATGCGCAATGAGGCGCACACTTTATATTTAGTCTTACTGAATAGACGATAAACCGTTTATATTCTAAAATCTATTAAAAGGTTGTGTTCTGTGAAAATTAAATAACATTTGGATGTAAATGGTCGGCATAAAAGTAGTGTGCGGCTAAACCGGCTGCGTCCTGTGGATCACCTTTATCTGATTGTCCGGGTCAGGAATCATTAAGCGGCATTAATATCTTCATCTGAGTTTTTCGTTGTCTCCAGATTTCTCTGCAGTTCGTGTATGTTGTTAAAAACGCGGAACATCATTTTATTCCACACAACAGGCAAGCATTACCGTTAAGTCTATTATCCACCAAAATGCAGATTCGTCACGTGGCAATTCTTACGCAAATGAGATTGAGGGAGACGTTAAGTTTGTTTTGATTTATTAATTTACTTACAATAACAATTTAAAATGTATTAACTTTTACGTATTCACTTTTACATGTATTATTAACTGCATTATATGCAATTTTACTTCATAGAAAAAAACTTTATAAATAAATATTTAGTACAATTCTTAAATCGCTATGGGGGAGCCTGGCCCCCCCACAAGCTACGCCCATGACTGTGGTGTTATGTAGGATGTTTTTCTCATGTATGTGACTCACATCAGCAGTTGCAGCAGAGGGCAAAGGTTAGGACTCCCAGACTGACTCATGTTATAAATGAGGCATGTAATACCCACATTGATTTCCCAGCAATGAGGTAAACTTAAGTAGTTTCTCTATTTTAAATAGAAGGAAAAATAAATTATGCATTTTAATTCAGCTAAAATTAGGCTATTATTTATTTATTTTTATTTTTTTGCCTCTGGTTGGTTCGACTTCTGATTCTCATTACACTGGCTTACAGGAGTTTAGCTTCAAAATTCAACATACATACACCATGTAAAATATTGTACATATTTGTTTATTAGCACCGTCAGGAGGACAAATGTGTTTTTTGGGAGACAACAGGAAAATCTCAAATATCTATGCAAACAAACTTTAAAAGTCCCCGAGGGTTTTTTGGTGTTTGGTTTTTGCTTGGCCTCAAGATGGCCATGTTGATTTAAGTGTGGACAAATTATAGCGCTCTCTGGGGTACAGCTGTATGGGAATCAGAGCTGCGAGATTTGGACTATTATACATCATTATAAAAACCGTGTTTTCTTGCATTCAGTCTTAGCCTACTTAAAGATTACTTTAAATACTTCATGTAAAATTACCAAATGAAGAGACTGTTTGGCATTATTACTCGGCTCTGGAAAGCTACAGTATGGTAGGCTACTTGAATACTTTCATATCTTCACGCAAACTTACTGATGTACAAAACACAACAACAACAAGAAAAACACTGCGTTAAATGTACTGTGATGTAATGAAGTTGTGTGCATCTCAGTTATCGTTTGAATTATACATGACTTCGTGTTTTGTACATTGTAATGTTTTATTAGGTAGCTGAAACGTTAGGAAAACATATAGGTAAGATTCAATATTTCATCCCTATTTATTTGGTGAGGGGTTGTGTAATAAGCAAGATAGTTGTACATGTAGTCCAATATTTGATATTAATAGAATTTTGATGAAAAATATGGATGTGCTCTTTAACATTTACCCAAACAAACAGGTGGAATATCCTTAATAAGGGCAGGGGAACTGCAGACATCAGCATCCACATTGCTCCCTGAAGGCAACATTAACTTTTGAGCACATGGGTGTATTGAATTAGCCTCCTATTGATGCAGCAACACGTAATCCATTTACTATAAGACTTATGCTCCACACTCTCTGTCTCTGGCCAGTCTGTTTGTGGAAAAACTGACCGTATTATTGTCTTTTTGCAGACAAAATTTAATTATATATTATGTGTTCTTAACGATATACTGTCTTTGCCCTGTTAGAGCTGCCTCTACTTCCTTCTATTCATTTTTGGCCAGATACATAGATTAATGGAAAGGTCTCCAGATGTGCTAAATGTTAAAAGTTTCCATGCCACTGCAAAGGAACATTTCTGGTACAAAATAGCTGCGTTGTAAGCGGAACAGATTGGTATGACCAGGTCACATTGAGAATTCATATTTTAAAGGGACTCTCGCAATTAATTTACTTTTAGCCATGGCATCCCAATTTTTTGTGCGCAAGACCTTTTGTGCTGAAAAAACAAACAAACTAGACTGTTTAAGGGAAGAGACGAAAGAATGAGCTGAATACTACAAGGATGAAGGAGTTGGATTTATCCTTGGTTGGGAGTAAAACAGGCACCAGGGACTAGAGTTCCCAGAGGCCTCAAAAAATGAGGGATGGACTAAGCAGTCAGTTTGTACACAACAAAAAAGTATGTCATTTTTAAACTCACACTTGAAAACTATCTGAAAAATGTCCATGGCTTTGTCATGTCTGAGTGCTTTGGAACAGTATATGTATTGTGAAAAGCGCTATACAAATACATTGAAATGTAATTTATGTTTATACCTTATTTGATTCTGTCTGCAGCATGTGACATCAGTAAATCACTCTTCTCCTGCTTTGTATCCTTCACCATGGACATCAACATAATGTCCAATATATTTCCCTGCTGCTTTATGAAAGTGGCTGAATGCAATAACATTAGGCTATTGACAGTGAGCTTGCTTTAATATTCACAGGCCATTTGTTTGTCTTTTGCTATTCATTTCACAGGTTTAATACCAGGCTCGCCCTGATGATATGCATTAATGTAGAGCCGTCAGAATAAATCATGTAAATGTCCGTGCTGTCGCACTACCAGCCTACTTTTTTTTGTTATGTGCTCGAAGCTAGGATAATCATGTAATGTGTTTTATGCTAATTTGCAGGCTTTTTACGGAACAATCCATTGAAGAAATGTTGTTTACAAGCATGTGGAAAAAGAAGAACCGAACATGTTTTTCATGTTTAAGAGAAAAAGGTGACCAAATAAATGATGGGGAAATCTGTCTCTGCCCTCAAGGGTCTTTTTTTTTGCCTCTCTCTCACCCCCACTTTTTGCTCCCATGACCATGGACGTATCCGGCCCCCACAGTGCAGCCCCCGCTGTGGGTCCCTGGCGTAGTTGTAGGACTATCGGAGAGGTATAAGAAAGGGTGTAGAGGAAAAGCACCAGGCACTCTGTTATGACCGAGAGTTAGGACGGATCTCTTAAAGCCAGTTTTGGAACTGATGGAGCAGCTTGGATGTCACCTTCACTAAAGGTAAAAATACATTTTTATATGTATATTTTCTATTATTTATATACAAATTTCTTTATTTGTTTTTTCTTTATTATATTTTAATTATTATCTTAAATTAGAATATTTAATCAAACCCTAATCATAGCCCAAAGAGATGAGTAAGCGTGTGAGTTAACAAAGAACACATTTCAGATGAGACATTCTTGTTTGTAAATTCATCAAACTGACACATAACCTCAGAAAACACACTAAATGTGTCATAGCATGTTTTGTTTTTTTTACCGTAAATGCAGCATCTAATGTTTACAAGTGTGTGTGTGTGTGTGTGTGTGTCTGACTTGTCTGTCAGTGTCTCTCCAGCTACTTAACCCACCATTGATGTAAATGACTGTGTTTCATGTGTTCAGCTCAGCGCATTAAGATTCTATGTCAAGGTAAGAGGACTTTTATGTTGTTGTTACTCTGTCACAGTTTGAATGCATAAACTTTTCTCTACTCAGGGCTGATCATATCCATCATTGTAGGGAGTACAAAGATTTTATTAGACCACCAATATAAAAATAAATGCGAACAAAAACAAAAATCTCTTATCAGTATGACAAATTGCATGATTCTGATCAGCCACCACTTCCTGAGCAATAGCGGATGTCTGATAAGCATATTAAAATAGATTGAGTGATATTCAAAAGACGTGAACCTTGGAATGCAATGTCGTCTGTTATTGGTTGTTGACTCCCTTGGCAACACGCCTGCATCTGCTTACATAATATGTGCTTGCCTTCCGTAGTGAAAAATAAATATACTAAAATGTGTTTAAAATCCATTTAATTTCATTTTAAGTATACTACAAATACATTTACATATTTATGTGCTTAATAAAAATACCCTGCACTTGTACGTTTGGTATACTAAACTGGTATACTTAAAGTCTGCTAAATTGGAACAACTAATTTTGGACTTAATGCACTTTAATTGTGCGGAAGTAGTCCAACTAAAGGCATACTTAAGTATCTGATTAAGTATTTGAAGTGGAACTATTGTAAATATACTTTAGGTACACTTTAAATATCTTGCATTTAAAGACCGATATTATTCAAAGATCATACAATCCTCATCAATAGTAACATTCAAACACATTTTAGGCTTAATATTAAGAAATGTGCATTGTGCACAAGTAGTACTCCAAATAAAGTTTCATTATAATTTTTATGTCTGTAAGTCTCCAGTGATATGTCAGTAAATATGTTAATTTGATTTGAAGTATACTTAGTATGAAATAAATGTATTTTAAATATATTACCTTTTTACTATCAGGAAACCAGTGAAGGAACAGCTTGAGCAGAGCAATGCTAATTCTTTCTAAATACAGAATCTGAATTCAGTTTTGCTTGCCGAGTAAGTTACAGTTACTAGGAATTTGCCTTCCTAGGTGCTTCCATAAATAATACTACAGTTACCTTTTTCAACCAGTTATTCATGATAAATTAGATACAGCATACAATATAGACACACTGTACTACATTCAATATATCACTATGTAGTATATCTGAAGCCTTTTCAAATGTGTAAACAAATTATTGCCTAGAAATATGTAGCTCTCTGAGAGCTTGACCTTGTTTGACCTTTACACCCATGAGAAGCTGCCTGATGTGTTTCCATTATGGTACAGTTTTGGGAGCTTTGAGAGGATGACCAAACTTAATTCTCACAGTGTATATATCATGTTTAATACGCATTATTTATGTATATTAAAATATCTAAAAAAAAATCAATCTATCTATCTATCTATCTATCTATCTATCTATCTATCTATCTTATCTTTCATCTACTTTATCTCTCTTGTTTATTTATGTTCTAGATTTTATATAGTTTGGCACTTTTTACTGAATTAAAAATACAGAAGTGTTAAACAGTTCATAAATAGTAATTGTAGTATTGTATAGTAATATTAATAGTAAATATAAACATTATTTATTGCCGTAGTTATCATAAACTAACAATAAAAATTATTTTACATTATTTATTACATCTGTTATTATTTGATTTCTGCATTTCTATTTGAACATTTCACGTTGTGTAAAGTATCTTTATTCTATTATGAATGCACGCATGTTAACAATTATAACAAATTATAGTATAAATATAAATTAACATGAACTAAGATAATAAATTCTGTATAAGATAATAATTTCTGTAAAGGTATTGTCTATTGATAGTTTGTGATACCTAATATATCAACTAATGTTAATAAACTGAACATTAATGTAAAATGTCACCAGTTTATTTTATTTATTGATTGATTGATTTAAAGACCATGTAAAATATTTACCATAAATATTTCCATTTAATGAATTATACCAGATTTAACTAATTTTCAATATAACTGGAAGGAGCAGTTGAAGTAGGCCTACAGTCAACCCAGTTGCTGTTATCCAAAATCAACAAGCTCCTAGATAATATGAGCAGAGAGACATCTAGTGTTTGTTGTAAGTAATGCACTTTTCAAATGGAAAAAAAAAAACCTTATGAGAAATTGCATGAAACTTTTTGCCATATTAACCATCTGTATCCACTCTGTTCTTATAGGGCTCCTTTAACGACGCAGCTTTTTAGGCTGTGAAACTGAGGGTGGGTTTGACAGATCTCCAAAATGGACAACATCACAGCCGACGCTAACGTGGGACTCAAGCTCACGTGTAACATGACCGGGCACCACGATTTCATCTTCACCTTCATCCCTGTAGTCTACAGCTGCAACTTTATCATCGGAATTGTAGGCAACAGCCTGGTAGTCATTGTCATCTACTTCTGTTTGAAGCTGAAGACCGTTGCAAACATATTTGTTTTGAACTTAGCCGTGTCAGACTTGACCTTCCTCCTCACCCTGCCCATTTGGGCCATATACACTGCAACAGGCTACGAGTGGCTCTTTGGAGACTTCCTATGTAAAGCCATTGCTGGTATGGCCCTCCTTAATCTATATACTAGTATTTTTCTCCTCACTGCTCTCAGCATTGACCGGTATCTGGCCATCGTTCATCCCGTCAAGTCCCGCCGGTGCCGTACGGTGGTGTACGCCCGTGTGACGTGCGTCTTGGTTTGGGTAGTTGCTCTCCTTTTAAGCCTTCCCACAGCCGTTATCCGTGGGACCCATTTTATCCAGCATAACAATGTCACTGTATGCGCCATCCTAGACGAAGAAGATCTTCGCAATGTGCTGGCAGCTCTCAGCCTGATGAAGAGTGTTCTTGGGTTCCTTCTGCCCATCACCATCATCCTCACGTGCTACTGTCTGATTGGCCAGTCTCTGCTCAAAGCACGGGACATTCAGAGGAATTCGAGATCAAACGGGGACGAGGTGTTGAGCATGCTGGCCGCCGCCGTGCTGTCGTTTTTCCTTTGCTGGACACCACATCAGATCTTCAACTTCATGAACATGCTTGGTCTGCTGAAAGTGATCACCAACTGCGATGTCATTGAGATCATTGACACCGTAATGCCGTTCACCATTTGTATTGCCTTTTTCAACAGCTGTATGAACCCAATCCTGTACGGTTTTGTCGGGAAGAACTTTCGCAGGAACTTGCTGAAGCTCTTGAGGTGTTCCTCGACTTCTGTGGCATCTCACCCCACCCTCAGTACCAAGATGAGCTCTCTCTCATATCAAGCCTCGGAGTCATTACACCTCTCTGTCAATAAAATGTCCTCAATACCTCAAGCCACATGAGGAAAACAGGAAGTGTTATAATATATATATATATATATATATATATATATATATTGTAAGTTAACTTTTCACCTTCCTCACCAAAAGGACAAAATCATGCTGAAAATACTAAATATGTTTTGTATAATATTTCTAATATTTCACCCATCTAAGCTGTTAAAGTGTCATTGGTGCAATTTAAATGCTGTATTTTCCAGCAATGTGATAAATGAATGAAATCTTCATAATTCTACACATTTTTATAGCATGATTTTTACTCTGAAATGGGTTCCTGTGTCTCATAGCTCTACTGATTAGACCAGGGGTTTACAAACATTAATATGCCACATACCCCCAAATATGATGATCTCCTTCTGAGAGAGATATAAAAGGCAATTCATGGTTATCTATTTATAATTGATATATAACTAAACAATTTTTATACATTAACATTAACAATAAGTTTTTATAAACTGCATTCTTTCTACACACATGTAATTTATATTATTGACAGCAATGGGTAATTAATTCACTATGACAGTCTCATGCTTTCTGACCAGTCTTTAGAAAGCAAAATGAAACAGTAATAGTGTCAAGTTCTGTCATTTTATTTATTTAAATTGATTTAATTGACCATTTAAAAAAAAATGTCTCCCCTTGTGGCTCCCCGAGGGTCCCTGGACCCCAGTTTGAAAACTCCTGGATTAGGCTATGGCATGGGGTCTAACAAGACATGGTAGTTTTCACATACTGTATGCAGTGCTATCATAGTCAACACTGTTTAGTCTTGATATGAATTATCATCTGATAATTGTTTTATTTTTCTTACACCACTGTGGTAATTTAGCACTTCAAGCAGGCTCTAATGGTTGGTTGGTAATTTTGTAACATGCTGTTCTATATAATGACATGATACTTGAGTCTGAAAATGTATGTTAAGTGTTGTCTTTTAACAGGAAAACATAAAATAAATGTATTAGAGTATCCTCAACGTAGTGACTCATGCAAGGATTTTTTTTTTTTATCACACGATGGCATCAAATGAAAAAGTAAATTCATAATTCATAATTCATTTGTTATTATGAGACAAAACTAAGGAATTTCCAACTGCATTTGGACATGAACTGAATACTTTTATTACTTTGAATTACATTTTTAAACGTATGGATGACTAGTTCATTGTATCTCAGCTCATACCTGAAAATGTGAGTTTCGTGTCGTAATGTCTCCCAGTGTTTTTAACTGAAATCTTCTGAAGTGAATAGTGGTAAGTGAGGGGGCGTGTCTGTTGTCAGGGGTCATGTGACCATGAAAGGCACGTCACTAGTATAAATCCTCTGACAGACCACGTACTGCTTCTCTCCAGCGTTTCTCACGGAGGCTTTGTATCCGGTTCGGTCTGGCTGTTACGTGAGCCATGGCAGGTAGGCAATGTTATGAACCGTCACATATCGCCTGTGCTTGTAAAATGAAACGAACGCCAGTTGTGTTTGCGCAAGTATTATGAATACAGCCTGTAGCACGCGCTGCCTCGGAGGTAGCAGAACTCGCTGGATATCACAGCTGAAATTTAATTTCAGCGTTGTCTAGACTGTTGTCCTTTAATATTTGACGTTATACACAGTTTAGCGTTTGGTCTATTGTGTAAAGGGCCTAGTCGCGTCTCATACGCAGTTGTTTGGTGCGCAGTGTTTACGGTTACATTCACTGGCCTGTCCTGCAGGAAGAGAAGAGCTGCCGTTAGTTTGTCACTTCTATTTGGCTTGAGTTCAATGCGGCAGTGCAGCGTTATCAGTCTATCACACAGCCAATGTAGTTTTTAAAGCGCGTTTTCTTTTGCACGGATGGGGTTGTAATCAGTTCCTCCAACATGTGCTAGTGCATCATCAGTTATTGTTAAATGAACGCAAATATAAAAAAATAGTCAAGTGCACTCAAAAATAACCGCAGGTTATGAGGGTTATGCACATTATTTTCCACGTTTAGTGTCAAATAAAAAAGTACCTACAACAATAAACATCGATCTTGTATTATAATGTATATTTTTGTATTGCATTTTTTCCTCCAACAAAGCTTACAGCGTATTGTCTCATTTTATACGTTAAATAATTATATAGAGTAAATTTTCTGACAGAAATTGGCCAGTTGTATATTTCTTATTTAACAACAAAAAGTTCCCCAAGATGCCGAAGCATCATTTTAGATGTCGCCAAGTAACGCACAGATGGAAACCCGGTCTGGATGCGCGAGTGGAACGGCCATAGTTCCTCTACTTCGCCCAAAACGTTCTGTTATCGTTCGGCTAGAACTCCACTCTGGGATTTCTGGTTTCTCAGTAGCATGGTCTGGGAATAGTATGCAAGTCCCAGTGCTGTTATATTAACTAGAAGTCCTTTTGAAAAGCTGCTTGGCCAGTCAAATTTGAGTATTTAAACTAACTATTGTATTTTTAATACAAGGTATTTCCTGTGAATGAATACTACTTACAACAACAAGAATAACAGTGCATTTAACAGTAAAACTTTCTACACTATAAACAGGCATGCTTGTGATTGTGACAAATTTAAAATTACTTTAAATTTAAAATTACTTAAAATTACAAACTTTTTCTGTGCAGCCAATATAAATGAATGTGCAAGGCTTCCGGTGTCAGACACTTCCCCCCCCAAAATTGCACCCACTCTTAGGTTTAAAAATAAGATGGGGAAATGGTCATTTTGCATGTGCAATATATTACATAAATTAGAATGCATACAGTAAGTGATGGTGGTGTGTGTTGTTTTTTTTTGTGTTTTTTTTTGTGTTAATATAGACCAGGCTTTTGTCACCCTTGCCACAACTGACAATTATGCCAAAGGAGCAATGGTACTTGGCATGTCCTTGAGGAACCACAACACATCGAGGAAACTAGTGGCCCTGATTGGCCCCCATGTCTCTGAACCCTCCAGGTAGAGTGCTTGCTGTGTTTTGTAGCACGGCTTGGTTTTCAAATGTTTTGTGTTCTGTCACGGTATTTGCTGTTGTCCACACTGCAGAAGTGTGATCTATAGATCAATCAGTCTCACTTTGTGCTCTGTGTGCTACATTACAGAGCAGTGCTTCGTAAGGTCTATGATGACGTCAGGCTGGTGGATGTGCTGGACAGTGGGGATGCTGCACACTTGGCCATGATGAAGAGACCTGACCTGGGCGTCACCTTCACCAAACTCCACTGCTGGACTCTTACAGAATACTCCAAATGTGTGTTTATGGATGCAGATACTCTAGTGAGTGCTGTCTTATAATGTTAGCCATGATGTTTTTATGGTGTCTTTGAGAGGTTTTCATTGGTCTTCCCTCTTGTCTCTAGGTTTTGTGTAACATAGATGAGTTATTTGATCGAGAGGAGCTCTCTGCCGCACCAGATCCCGGCTGGCCTGATTGCTTCAACTCTGGTGTGTTCGTCTTCCGTCCCTCCAACGAGACCTATGAGAAGCTTCTCACCACCTGCTCAGAGAATGGCAGCTTTGATGGCAAGTGACATTCTGTAGTGTTGTTATATTTGTTTGAGAAGCTGTAAGGGGTGTTTTAGCATTGCATAACTGCATTGAATAATGTTTTGAAAAAAAAAAAAAGTTTTTACCATATACTTTGGAATTCATTCAAAAAAATGGTTCCTCTCCTCCAGCACGTCTATAAGATATTTAAACCCTGGGTTGTGAAAGTTGCGTAAACTTGCTAGGGTTCAACATGGCCATGAGTGAGTTCTTTATCAGACATGTAGGCCGAACACAAGGTGGCTCTGTGATTTTTCTTTTTTTGGGGGGTGCACCACGCCACCTGAGGGAGTTATTCCTGGGCTCTGTGTGGGATGAAGTAAACAAAAGCCTCTCAAATGAGAGACTCCTGCTAGACCCTTGTGAAATTGCTTTGCTTGTACTGTACAGGAACTCTCATTCAAGTTATTTTTACTTGATTACATGTAAATTCAATCCTTGTCTGTTTTTATGACAACTTGTGTTTTAAGATGTACTGTTTTTGGCACTTCAGTATTCCTGTGCTTTGTTAAAAAGCACTCCTCTTTTAGTTAGAGAACTAATCTTAAACAAAGAATTGAGCCTCAGAAGTTATCAGTAGGCCTCTTGCTTTGAAGGTCTTGGAGGCAGTTGTATTTCTGTTTCATCTTCGTATCGCTCAGAGTTGAGAACCTGTGTTGCCTCATGTTTTGTTATCTTTCTGTTTATATATAGCACAACATACAGAGGAATCTCGTAGTGTGATTGATTAGTCCCAGTCACCATGTCACACAGCCTATGGCATATCTCTGAATGTCTGAAAATATCTGGCTTCTACTAGGGAGATGTTCACTCAGAAATGAAAATTGTCATTTACTCACCCTCATGTTGTTCCAAACCCATAAGATTTTGTTCATCTTTGAAGCACAAATGAAGATACTTTTAACTGAACCGAAGACATTTCTGTCCCTCCATTGAGAGTACCAAATGCTTCAAAAAGTTAATAAAGATATTATAATGGTAATCCATATGAATCAGACTGCTTAATCCAAGCAAGCATGTTTGAGCTTCCTTTTACCATATTTAATGAGCTCTACAGTGGAGGTCAAAATTAGAGAACGATCTATAAATACTTAATTTTCACTCAATTTGAAGGAATATTAGCTGTAGGCATAGCACTGATCTACTAACATGTTTGACAAAATAACTAAGGCATTTCAACAAACCTTTATTTTGAGGATAACAAAGTGATCAAAATTTAAGAACCGTAACCACTGTAGCACAAAAGATTACAACTAATATTTTGGAGGGTTACAGCTGTCAGAAATTAGTAGGAAGTGTAGAGGCCCTTGCTTTAAATGACTTCAGCACATCTGTGGCCGCAGGACATCTCTAGTTTCTCACACTGCTCTGGTGTGATCTTTAATTATCTTATTTAGTTAATGTAATATCTAAATGACGACAATTCGACCGTGTCAACCTTTGAAAGTCTCATTGGAACATTTAAATCTGTGTTCGTGCTGAGAG